AAAAAGATGAGGCATGGACCAGAGTGTCCGAAACAATCGGTGTTCCAGGTGAGATGGTGAAGTGCATAATATATTTTTTTGTGTAAAAGGAAGGAGATCAGTAGTAATTTTGGCGCCATAGCAGAGAAAACAGTGCAAATTGTCGGTAATGTTAAACTTATTTATAGCATTAGTATTTGTCAAAACATAATTATGTGTTTTAGTAGAACTGTCGTGATACATTTTAAGTACTATTTATGTTAACTAAAGAAACATAAAGCACAAGCAACTACTTGGCGATCATCCATTGTGATCCAAGGTAAATTTGAAAAGAAGCGCTACACTATTTATAGGTAACATTTTCCCTCCAGAACGCTTGATTTTAAGCGGGAATACAAATAACTGGCTCACAACAATATTTATTTGACAATTTATGTCCTATCAGCAGTCGGTGCAAAGATATAAGCTACACGTTTGTTTGTTTTGCGGCCCTTTTAAAAAGTTTTCAGAGCCTGGTATTCTGAGTGGCCTTATCCCCGCCGAGAGCGTCTCCGGCGTTGGCTAGCGTCGCGTTCAGGGCGGCGGGAGCGACGGCTGGCGTCTTTGACGCTCGCGGTGTGAACGTAGCATTAGGCTTCCCGCCGAGACGAAGACGTGGGGGAGTTCGGTTTGCTAACGGATCCAGCTTTGTGTGCTTTTCATCTAAGGACAAAGGAATAGAAGGTTTTTAGATAACGGTTAAATCCCTTCCGTAAGAAGCTAACATGGTATGTGTATTTTATTAACTTTAGTATAGTTTTGTTTAACTTGTATTTATCCGTGAAAAATGTTAACTATATGAGCTTCGCGCTAGCCTAGCGAATTCGTATACACTATACATTTCGTGATTAACAGTAAATGCCAATGTAAATAAGATGTACAAGCAAACAGTTATATTTACTGTTATTTTATGTTCATGTTTCATTTGAATTTCAGTATTTTGTTGGTTAATATCGTGAGTCAATTCGCATGGATTTGTGTTTCTTTTAAATGAATGTAAAAAGCGCGCCAAAGGCTCAAGGTTAATTTCGGTGATTTACAAAGCTTTGTAAAGGGCTTAAGGTGTAAGTATGGGCTGATATTTGTGCCACTAGAAACTGAATATGAATAGTGTATATTTCAATCTGCAGTTGTTGCATTAAAAAACTGAATCTGAATTTATTAGTTTGGATCTGAATTCCAATAACTTGAAAATTGCATGATTTATCCTACCTGGAAAATGTGGCGCTCTATACTTACAAATTCACTTCTCCCAATTCAATTTCAGTTCGCAAATTCAATTTCAATTTATTGAGATGTACAATCCGGGTCCTGGAGGAAAAGTAATCGACCGCAGGTTCACAATTAACGCAACGACAGTTCTACCGATCTGGGTAAAGCGGAGGCGTGAGCCGGGGTGTCGCAAGCGCAAATGCGGGATCATATACGCAGTCATCATATACGTAATAAGAATTAAGCAGTACCGGCACTGCTATATTTTAATCTTTATCTACCACCATTTCTCACAAGTTGCCAGTACTTTGCTACTCTATAGAATCAGATTTAATATATACCTAATTAACGTTAGCAAGTTAGCTAATATTAATTATACTTAGGTAAAAGCTAAATTACATAGCAAAGCTTAACTTTACTTCTAATTTAGCACAATAAAATGTATAGTGCAGCACAAACAACATAAACACTTACACTTTGCTAATCTTGTTGTCGGATCCAGTAAAAATCTGTTAGTGGGTAGTAGAGTTGTGACGTTCGCGAACGAACCGATTCTTTTGAACGGCTCATAAACATGAACGATGGGAGCCGAGTCGCGGCTGG